AAAAAAAAAAATCATATAAACTAAGATAAACTTACAGCATAAGCAGCAGCTAAGAGATTCATGTCAAACCCAATGGCCCAAACATGTGGCTTATGCTCCATCACAAATGTAACAGCAATAGATTGCAATGTGCCCATAAAACACACTAGTGCTGTGAGTGATAGCTGGGCTGTGTATTTCCTCATTGTTATAGCCTAAAAATTGTTCATAAATAAAAGCTATTAAAAAGGGCATTTTTTTAATTTCAATATTCCATTTTTTTTAAAGTAATCTTGTTAAATGAATTTGGCAACACATACCTGAAGAATGAAGAAAGAAGCCCATGCAAAAGTTGCAATGATGAGGAGAATAGAGCCTTTGAACCAGTCCTTGTCGGTATGTTGACCGGTCGAGCTCGGGACATTTGACCTCAGAGGATGATGTAAGTATTTGGACCAGAACAAGTTGATCATGTCACCTTTGTACAGTGTCATCAGCATTGCTCCGGCCACCGTCACTATAGTTCCGACAACTTTTGCCTGACACCTCACCTTCTTAATCTCCAATTTCTCCATCCTATCAAACAATATTGGATTATTTTTTAATCTATAGAAATTGTGACTAATTTTTTTCTCTTTTTTATTTTATTTCTTAAAATTTATACCTGCAAAGGACAGCCATAACGAACGTCATAGCCGGGAGCATATTGCTCATTGCACACGAAAAGGTTGGGGAAGTGAATTTAAGCCCCGCGTAGTAGAAATTCTGATCGATCACCGGCCTGTCGAAAAATTAAGAAAAAAAAAATCCAAAAATTATTATAACCGAATATTGAATTCGTTAGAATAAGTTTATCCGAAGCAAGAGATCAAGAAACTCACCCGAGAAGTCCCAACACGAACAGCTGCATGAAGATCGTGAACGTAATCTTTGGCCTCACTTTTCTGCAAATAAAAAATAAATGCTAATCTTTAGAATCAACTAAAAAATTTCGACTCGAAGAAAAGTTAAAAGAATCGGCAGCTAGCACAGGAATTACCTTTCGAGCACGAGGGCAAAAGGGGCAATAACAGCAGTGGCAAATGCATGCCTGTAAACCACAAGCACATAGTGGCTCATGCCTCTGTTGAGGGACACTTTTGTAATTATGTTCATCCCAGCATAACCAAATTGCAAGCAGATCATGGCTATGTATGGCTTAGCATTCTCAAAAAGACTGCAAAACCCTTTTCCCTCCATTTTTTTTTTTCTTTTCTTGTTTGCTATACCTTTTTTTTCTTACACTAAGGTTTGAGTGTTTAGTGAAGAAGAAAAACAATTGTAAGAACTAAGAAGAGCTTGTGTTTTTTTGTCCTAAGGAACTGCAGGGCAGTGAATATGCTGTTTTTATAAGCAAATTCCCCTGTTTGAGGGGCATTTTGGGTATTTAGCACTGTGTCATCTTCTTCTGTGCATGAATCAAAATATGAATATTCTGATTACGTCTGCGTATATGTATGTATCCTTAAACGGGCGATTAGATAGCTCCACGTGGCGCCTGTCGATGTGAATTATCGATGGAGCTTTGGTAGTGCTGAGTGAATCATGTAAACTATGATATATCTTATTAGGTTGAGAAATTGATCAACTTGAAAATGAAAGATCCTAAATTTAATGGCATTTTTAAACATATTTCATTTAGAATGTAAGAGGATAAATAATAATAATAATATATTTTTTTTATATTTTTTTTCTTTTTGTAAAGTTGTCTAACCGTTAGACATGTCAGCATATCGACATATTTAACAAAAATGCAGATTCCATACTTTTATATATTGATGTTGTTTTTTAAAGCACGACGTTTCAGTTTGGAAATATATGTATATCTGTTGAAAAAATATGATTGGCTAATAACATTAATCTTATTGAGATACTAAATAACTCTATTCTTATTATTGTACCCATAATTACAATATCTATTAGGAGTTAAAAAAACAAATAATAATAAAAAAAATATGTAAATAAAATAGCTCATAATATTGGATAAAATGATGATTATGCTATAATTCCCTTCATGTTCATGCACAAAAAGTTGAATGGATTTTTGTCTAACAAAAAAGACGATCAATCAAATTACGCATATTTGGTAGGCGTGTTAGCAACACAAACAGAACATGAGCAATTTTTTTGATATTTAATTGGTTGATATATTTTTACATGGCATTGATCATAATCCACTTATATATTTTTCATGCTTTTTTTTGGTAGTCAGCCACGGTATTCGGAACTATGCTCCGACTAATCCGTTGGTCGACCCGGGACGCACACCTGGCAGTGGTGGGTGAGTCTCCCAACAGGGGTTTTCTGCATCCACAAAGATTCGAACCCGAGACCTTGCTTAAGTGACATCAAGCTGCTTACCACTTGAGTCAACCTGTTGTTTCATGCTTTTTGATTGCTTGTTAATATATTCAGCTCTTTTTTTTTTTCATTTGATTTATTCCATTATTTTTGGGTACGTAGATAGCACTTTGCTTGCAGATAATTTGTTTAATTAATTAACTTAAAATGTTAGTTTTTCTAAAATTATTCTTTTCAACATCCACTGAGAGAAAATTGTTAAGAGCTTAATTAATTGTTATTTGGAGAAAAAAATATGTTAATGCGTTCATTGTGTGTTCTTGTGCGCGTGAGGACTTTTGCTTTTGATGCTAGCGCAAATTCACTGATTCTTGGGTCGAAACACAAAAAACTACTTTAATTGCGCACATTTCATCAAACTTATAATTGAATACATATTTTTATAAGTTAAAAATCAAACTAGATATTAACCGAGTCATGGCGGTCGCACATCTTCTAGCGACATGATGCTCAATCCTTTCAAAATTAAGAATAATAGATATTTGTATCATGTAAAATTAACCTATAATTGAATGATCTCAAATTTAAAATTGCCCACATCAATTTATATGTAGAGAAGAAGTCTAGTATTAGAGATGGTAAACTAAGTTTTTATATATAGAGAAGTCTAGTGTTAGAGATGTTAAACTAAATTAGCAGCTCGTGTCCTACATGGATATAGCAGCTTTTCCAAGACTCCGACGTACTCATGTTCTGGCGGCTTGGCGAGGTGTTTTTCCTACATGGATATGGCGCGTTGTGCCTCAGCTGGGAGCCAGATAGTTGGCGCTTGTGGTGTGAGTGAGTGGCGTTGGATTTCGTGGTCGGGTCCGACGGAGGATGCGTTGAAAGTTAATACGGATGGGAGTTTTGATCTGTCGACGGGAATGACTAGCGCTGGCGGCGTCGTACCTGATCATTGTGGGAACCGGGTGCATGGGTCTTTTATGAATATCGGGTTTTGCTCAATCGTTGGAGCGGAACTCTGGGGCTTGTTCTAGGGCCTGCTTCTGGCGTGGAATATTGGTGCTCGAAGGATTACAGTTGAAGTTGATAATAAGAGCATTATCGAGATGGTTCAACACGAACATTTTTGCGGGCCGCATGATGAGTTGTTGAAAGGTATAAAGGAGATCTTAGACCGCCGTTGAGAGGTGGACATTATTCATGGTTATAATCTCTGCTTTTGCCTCATAAGTAATAATTATTAATTTATGACATATCTCAAACAAGTTGGCTAAGGATGTTGGATTTTAGCACCAAAATAATGGGAAGTGATTACACTATATATTCTCTCAAGTGGAAATTTGACGTTTTTAGAGAAGAATTTATTTCAACTTTAGATTCGTTTAATTAATAATATAGGATTTAAAATAAAAATTATAAAAAAATCATTCATGCTCCTTGTTAATTAAAGAAATCTTTTGTGCGTATTGTTGGATCAATTTTGCTATGAAATAGTTTGACTCTATAGTGGAGTCAACTTTCTATATGCAACAAGTAAATCATATCATATTAATAAAATTATTAGTATTATTTAAGTAACCAAAGAATATAATATAATTTACTTGTTGTATATAGAAAATTGGTTCCACTGTGGAGCCAATTATTGGTTTCATAGCAAAAATATGTTATCAAGTTTTTCTTATTACAATTCTTGTGAGGAACACAAATTCCCGCATGGCTCGGTCTAAAGATTGGGCAAGTCTACTCGTTACACTTTGTGAAAAAAATAAAATGCTTACATATACCAGAAAATATCATTTTTTTTTTTTTTTGTCACATCG